ATGCTTTATAACAAAGATTTAACAAGATGCTGTTGCAAAATTCTATGATATAATATAAGGCTCCTTGAATAGCCAGGCTACACCACGTATTTTTAACAGGTTTCGCAAAATTGCCATAAAATTCATATGGTTAAGTTAGACATACTGTTTTTCAATGAAACTCTTACACATAGACACTCCGTTTCCAATAAAACTCATGCAGATAAACATACTGTTTTGCAATGAAACTCTTACAGATAGACACACCGTTTCCAATTAAACTCATGCAGATAAACATAATGTTTTCAATAAAACTCTTACAGATAGACACACCGTTTCAAATCAAACTCATCCAGATAAACATACTGTTTTGCAATGAAACTCTTACAGATAGACACACCGTTTCCAATTAAACTCATGCAGATAAACATACTGTTTTCAATGAAACTCTTACAGATAGACACACCGTTTCAAATCAAACTCATGCAGATAAACATACTGTTTTCAATGAAACTCTTACAGATAGACACACCGTTTCCAATCAAACTCATGCAGATAAACATACTGTTTTCAATGAAACTCTTACAGATAGACACACCGTTTCCAATCAAACTCATGCAGATAAACATACTGTTTTCAATGAAACTCTTACAGATAGACACACCGTTTCCAATCAAACTCATGCAGATAAACATACTGTTTTCAATGAAACTCTTACAGATAGACACACCGTTTCAAATCAAACTCATGCAGATAAACATACTGCTTTCAATTACTGTTAGCATTTAAATTTTTTCCAAACCAGCGTAGTATAAACACGACCCCAAACCGTACGACTTTCACACCATATTCAAAATCAAGGGATAATGTGTGAACTGGGTCCGAGTCACACAAAGGCATGCGCACTACAGTCTTTATACCTGTCTATGTTTATCAAGAACATCTCCTTTAAAGCAGTAAGTATCTGGAAAACCCTGGGAACGAGCGCATTCACGCACGCTCACAACTCGATGTTGGCAGGGATGAAGAACACGTCCCTAAAGAAAATAAATCTCAAACTTTTAAAGTCAATAAAAATAGAAAATTGACAGGTTTTGGTCACCTGTTTTCCCATCGGTTCAGGATTCGTTATAGTCGTACTGAAATAGCCATCCCACTCCAGTCTTCCATAGAGACCAGCCCAGTGATTGTGTCTGTTACCAGTATGAGGTAAACACCATGGGATAAGGGTGTTAAATTGTCTATCCTGTGGATCACAGGGGGCACCCTCAACACAGCTACATACACCACGTTGTTGCCCGGATGAACTAGTGCCATTCTTTTTATCCTTATGTGTGTAACGCAATTTCTCCGTATATTTCCCATCTGCCAGGCGAACACATATGTTCGGTAAGTCACGCCAATCGGATCCAGGTACTTGGGGAATACGCTGTATCCTAGCAACGACCAATGACGTCATCTCTTTGCACACGTGATCACGCAACACGGTGTTTTCATTATACATACGGATCTGTAAACAGAATTGTCAGCTTTTATGTTGTATTTAATGCAGTTTAAGAATAGTGTGAAGATCTGATATCAGATGTAATAAAATTATAAATGGCTATCGATAACAAAGTTAATTCCATATATGAAAGACTACTACGAAGCGGGATAGCGAGGTATCAACCTGTCTCTGGAAGTGTGACTGCGCATCTCCATCATAAGATATTTCTATTGCCTTTGCACCGTTTCTGATTTCTGGTAAATCTGACAAAGCATCTCGTACCGTCACTGTACGATATGGAGCAGAATCATTTCTCGTGATATTTGATGCAAACTGCAAACATAAAAAAATCAGATTCATGTAAACATGAAAATTGAGGAAGTTATAATCTCAACGTAGTTAATGTTGTTTTATTCCATGTAAAATTGGTCATGATGGTCAAGAAAATAAAAACATCGCTACACAACACATAAGAGGAAAAAATACGAGATCAAATTACAAAATTCAGACAATCAAATGGTCGGACATAGCATTTTTTATGTAGAATAGTGGCAATAAAATAGAAAGTAGATGCTCTTGGGGAATTTGTAAATCTTATTTTAGAAATACAGAACGTCTAATTATAAAGGCAGAAGGTGTAAGAGTGAATAAAAACCATTTTCCGTCAAATCAAAGGAAAGCTTGGTTATGACATGCAATATGCAGGTACAAAGTTATAGAGAAAAATTAAAACATCTCTAACATTGTCGCAGACTTTACAAGTGCCGTAACAAAGTGTTGATAAGTTTGATATGCATTTGTCTAACAAGCTTAAGAAGACAAAGAGCATGACAAAAATATATGATTGAAAATTTGCTAAGCGCATATACAAGCACCAATTTCAGAGCTAGCTCCGTCACAAATTAATTTAGAATCACATCTGAGCATGCGTAGTCAACTCCACCAACTTTCCAAGTTCATGGTCATGGCAACGTCCAACTGGATGACTAGTACAGATTATGGAGTAATTAGCTCGTTCAGTAACAAATTTTCAGATATACTATCTGCGCATGCGCAGTCTGCTCGAGCATGCGCAGTCGACTTGACCAGCTGCCTAGGTTCATGGTTATGGCAACGACCAACTGCATCTACCAGCACCAATTTTGAAATAAATAGCATGCTTACTAGCAAATTAATATAAATCATCTGCGCATGCGCTAGGGCATGCGCAGTCCACTGACCAATTTTTCATAGTCATGGCAACGACTAACTATATGTACTTGCACTACATTTGTGGCAATTAGCTCACTTAGTCGCAAATTATCAAAGAAACAATCTGCGCATGCGCAGTAGTGACATTAATACCACAACTTTCGTAAGGCTTTGAATTTTTGTATATATATATATAAAGCCAATACTAGGTATAGTAGATGTCAACTAGCAGTGGAAGCTGGGTGCGATTAGGTATGCAGTGGCTTAGGGGCCCACACTTCGGTGGCGACCGCACTCTCCCTGCGTACCCCGAGCAAAGCCTATCGCAGGCGATCTCGGGGTCTGATGGGCGGAAGCTTGCTATTGCATCTCCCAAGGAGGATAGCGTGGAGGGGCCGAAATCTCTTACCGAAACGTTAACATGCGGCGTTCTAGTGCCTTACGCTTAAGAGGGTATCGGGAAGCATGGACCGAAAACGGGGTTTTTTTGCTTTAGAATTTTATCTGTTGTTTATTTTTTCTCATAAAATAAACAAAGCAATGTTTTAATTAACTTCTTCTGACACTGTGCCCTTTCCTAACACCTATAATATAAGACGACCTTCAACATGTTTTATGCAATTTTTATTGGTTTATATCTTTCTGATTTAACTTTCTCATTTGCTGTTTCTCATGCATCACGAGCAAACCATGCAAGCGCTTCATGGCAAAAAAGGATTATCTGGTTCCCTTAATTAACATGCGACGCTATAGTGCTCAAATATCTCGGTGTATCGGAAGCCATGGACCGAAAACTGGATTTTTTGCTTTCGAATTTTATCTTTTTGTTTACCTTTCGTTTAAGAGTTCTTATCATAAAAGAAACTAGAACATCCAAGGATACTGCAAAGGCTCAAACAACCTCTGTCTTCTTGAATTATAATTTAAACCAACTGTAAACACGTTTTTTACTCCTACTCCTAACCTTTTACAATTGTTCTCATCATGAACGAGAGCATCCGTGGGCTTCGTGGAAAAAGGAGATTTTCTAATTTCTTATAATAGTTTCTACTAAGATAACATTTAATAAGCCTTGAATCTTGGATTGTCTAAATTGAACCTCGCTTTCAACGCTTATGTTATAAAATTTTGATACATTATTCACAGTAAATTTCTTTTTACTTAACAATATTTTCATGATTCAATCTAGAAAGTAACTTCACTTCTCGAGTAATTTTACGATTAAACAGCACACTTTTTGGATTCAAAGGTTTTCTTTTGATAGCATGGAGACAGCCGTCAAAGCTATTACGTACATGCATGTTCTGTGCATTTCGTTGTAAGAAACCACCTCACCAAAGAATATCCAGATCTGATTTTAGCTGCATCGAGCGAAGAAAATTGAAGAATTTGTTTTAACTGTCACTTTTATATATATAATTCTACGTATCATGTAAAACAGAGACACTTAAAACAGGGACAGATTAAACACGTAATCCTTTTGTCGGCAAAGGACAGGATTAGTCAATTTAATTAAGTGGAGACATAATTAAGTACAGACATGGAGTCTGTATTAATTATATTGACTAATCCTGTCCTTTGCCGACAAAAGGATTACGTGTTTAATCTGTCGAGTACGATGTTTTGTAAAAAATTCGTAGTCGCGACTACGATGTCTTTTTAAGCAAAAAAAGTAGGTATATTTTTTCATTGTGTAAGAAATTAGTTTACAGTACTATTTTTGAGCATCCAGGCTTTACTTTAGAACATTTTTGAGCGCATATGTACATTTCAAAGGAAAATATGACCTGCAAAACTTTTATGTATTTCGTACGCAAAGTGAACGGTAAACAAACAATAAAATCGTATAAATATATCGTACATAAAATTTAAAATAGTAAAGATTTTTCACTCTAAAGAGTCCTATGTTCTTGCAAAATCAGTATTACCGATTAGTTGATATCATTATTGACAAATAGAGCCGTAGCTGCTTCGCAAAGTTCGGTGTTTTACACAATAAAAAGGCTCGTTCTGTTGTTTACAACTAAAACTAAATTTTGACAAAGCGATAACGACAACAAACTTCCTCGTGCCATTCTCTTACACGGTCTAACTTCGTACTCGTTGTCGTAGTCGTACTCTTGCTAAAGCTCTCTAATATTCCCATCAAGCAATTTAGCAAGTTTATTACGCAGGATATACGTGTACAATAAATGGTTTTGCAGGATATACATGTACAAGATTTTTACATTCTCATACTAATAAAGTCTCGAGAAATACAATACATAACAGAGATATTTCGCAATCACCACTATTGTATAATTTACAAAAAAATGAATGCTTCCAACATTTTGCTGTGTGTTTCACGTGGATTTAATTATACGATTGATAAATAAGAACTAAAATTGCTTAGGTTACAAAAAAACTCAGCAAAAATCATAAATAGTGCGCGCATCATGTGAAAATTGTATTTGAAGACGGATGCATTAGAAGAAACATTTAAACGTGTGACAAGTCAAGACTTGAGGAAGTTCAACAACAGGTAAAGCATCTTTATAATTATTGAAATAACATAAGAACGATGTGAAAAAACAGTTTTAAACATTGATTTGTCAACAGCAATAACATTATTTTGAAATTCCATCAATGGCGATCAGTTCATCGTCACAAACACTCACAACCAAACGAATGCGATGAACATGTATAATTTATCCAAAGTTTGTAATAAATTGATAAACAAGCTATTGTGAATTAAGGATTAAAACACGACATACAGAGAAACAAACAGACGTGAACACAAATTAACTAAACCATTTTGCATTTAAAATAGAAAATATAATCTGAAGTTGTAACTTTGACCGAGGAGAGAACCTAACAAAAGAACGCTCGACACATAAGGATGGATCCTAAAGGACAAGCAAATGATATATCCATTCAGCACATTCAGCATTACCTGGAAATTTGTCACAATGCAACATTGACAAGTTATTCAAAAGATGGCTTCATTGGTGGAAGAGAAATACTCAAAAGAGAAGCAACACATATTGAAGACGTCCTTTCGACCTGTACCACTGGGAATGAAGAAGTTTCACAAATATTGATGACAAGCGATTTATTTCAATCATCATGCAGATTCTTTTTCAATACGGCCATCAATGGCATCATTTCTGAAGAGATACTGATCAAATTTGTACTAACTTGCTCCGAGTTAGCAAAAGAGCACGGGAAAATAAGACAAAAGATTGATTTTGATTGCATTCTGGTTGATCATGAAGGTAGAAAATCATGGCTGTCCGATGGCTATTTCGAAAAAATGGAGAAAGTCATCGATGAGTACGATAGAAGTGAATTTCCAGATGACGAGCCATTACTTAAAGCACATTTCAAATACCAGTTGGGTCGATACTATTTCAAAAAATCAAAAGACAAAAATGAGCAACCCAACAGACAGCGAGAATATTTTGAAAAAGCTGCTAATAACATCGAAGAATCGCGTGACTTAAGGAAACAAAACATGGAAAGAGAGAACTCGTCACTTTTGACGAAAGTTGACGTGATTTTGTCGCTTATCATGCTTGGTTATTTAAGAAAATATCAGAGCACACAACGTCACGAAGTAGAACGTTTCAATGAACTGATTGCTATGGCGAAAGATTGCTATGAAGAAGCTACAGCTTTAGTGGACGAGTTCCTTGGAAAACATCCCCTTAAAGTAGATTGTCATAAAGCCTTGGGTGATTTGCTGTTAGAAATGAAACAAAACGAGGCTGCAAGGAAAAATTATGAAATTGCTTTGAATGTTTTTGAAGAGTTAGAGCTAACTCCAAATAAAATAAAGGGATACTTGCTCAATAACTATGCCACATCTTTGATGAATTTGCAGAAATATGAAAGAGGGGACGAAATGTTCCAGCGAGCGAAAGATTACTATAAGAAAGCTATAGCTTTAGTAGACGAGTTTCTTGGAAAACATCCCCTTAAAGTAGAATGTCATAAAGTCTTGGGTGATTTGCTGTTACAAATGAACCAAATTGAGGCTGCAAGGAAAAATTATGAAATTGCTTTGAATGTTTTTGAAGAGTTAGAGCTAACTCCAAACAAAGGAAACGTATACTTGCTCAAAAACTATGCCACATCTTTGATGAAGTTGCAGAAATATGAAAGAGGGGAAGAAATGTTCCAGCGAGCGAAAGATTACTATAAAAAAGCTATAGCTTTAGTAGACGAGTTTCTTGGAAAACATCCCCTTAAAGTAGAATGTCATAAAGTCTTGGGTGATTTGCTGTTACAAATGAACCAAATTGAGGCTGCAAGGAAAAATTATGAAATTGCTTTGAATGTTTTTGAAGAGTTAGAGCTAACTCCAAACAAAAGAAAGGTATACTACTCAAAACTATGCCACATCTTTGATGAAGTTGCAGAAATATGAAGAGACAAATGTTCCAGAGAGCGTCCGAAATTAATGCAGAATATAAATTAGGTTTGGAAGACATGATCGAGAAAACTCGACAACAATATAACTAGAAAAAGAACCAACGACATTAAATCACAATCGCAACATACTTCAATAAATTAAAATGATTTCGTATCATTTTGTTGATAAAAGAAAAACTGCAATCATAAATATACCAATGTAGTGGTCATGAAGTGCACAAATCTTAGCGTCTTATGTTAAAAAGTATAAATAATAGTTAAAAACTATTCACATATTTATCACGTGATTTTAAAAATCAATAATAATGCACTATTCGCGCAGTTGTGGAAATATCGTGCCGCAAAAAGAAATTCAAATACATATATTACTCGTTAAGTCAATATGCAATTAATAAAGATATTTTTTTGAATGATTTTGTTTACCTCTTGTAAAATGTATAATTAACACTCCATGAGTTCATATTATTTTATAAAAGTTGGACAGCTTATTAGAATTTCAGTTTTTACTGCAAATATAGTTTTTGCTCAAAGACCCAACGGAAATTCATTTAAACTTGAAAACACGACACTGGAGTAATTTGAAGTGAAGTTTCAAACATCACATCACTCATGATGAAAACACAACAACAAAGTATATAAGGACTTTGATTGCCTTTCATGGAACAAGTAACAAGTAGCGCCGGATATGCATTTACAAGATCTTAACATCCTTACATTGATGACAGATGAGATATATATAATAAATACTGTAAGTTTGAAAATTTGTAATCCAGGCATTTAATATATAAAAGATAAAGGTTTTTCCGGATTTTAAGTGATTTTTATTGAGCTTTCGACTCGTTCCTTCGAGCCTTCATCAGAATGAGGATATTTATCTACACGTGCTTTTATTAGCTTGGAGACGTTTAGAGCGTCTAATTGGATTAGTGGGTGGATTAATGTGATTGGATGGGGTGAAATACGTTGCCATGGGTTTTGGTGTATTGTGAATATGATTGGTGTTAATAATATTAGAGTGTAGTGTTTTAGTTTTGGTGTTGTTTGTAGTTTTTTTGTCCTTTTTCTTTAGTTGTGAGTATATGATGGGTATGTCGATATGTCTGTTTATTGTGTCGTTGTCTTTACTGTACCAAGCTTCTTTAAATTCGCGTGCGTGTTTAGTCTGTGCGCGTCCGAGTACTTTAGTTTCTGTCCAGTCGAATGTGTGGTTGTTTCCGTGGGTATGTTCTGCCGGTAGTGAGTTCGGATCACGTCGTTTTATGGCGTTTTTGTGTTCTGTTAGTCTTGTTTCAATTTTCTTAGATGTTTGTCCTATGTATTGCTTTGAACAGTCTTTACATGGTATCATGTAGATCGCGTCAGTTATCATGAATTTTGTTTGTCTTTATGTTTGGTGAAACATGATTTGAGTTTTAATGTGGTTTGTGGGCGATTAATGATAAGAGTCGGTCATGATGTCGGCGGTGTTTCCGTTGGTCGTTGGTTTGTGGAGGATTTCTAGGAGTAATTGTTTTTAATAAATGTGGAGTATAAGTAGTTGCGTTCTGTTTTTTTGGCTTCTTCCGTATTACAATGAGTGTTTATCCTGTTGAAAAGTGTTCGAATGCAGCTTATTTTGTGTTGTGTTGGATGATTGCTGTTGAAATCAGTATTTGGTCTGTGGGTGGGTTTGCGGTATACTTGTGTGTTTAGTGTACCGTCATCTGTTTGGTTAGTAGGATGTCGAGGAAGGTAAGTTGTTTGTCGTGCTCTTCGTCTTTAGTAAAGGTAATGTTCTTTGTGGTATTGTTTATGGTGTGTAGGATTTGTTCAGTTTTGTCTTTCTTGACTGGCAAAGATGTCGTCGACATATCTTTTCCATAGTCTGATGTTTGTGTTGTTTGTGACTGATTGTGTTTCGAGGTGTTGCATGGCAGCTTCTGCGGGAAGGTGGATAGTGGTGATCCTGCATGGTGTGCCTGAAAATTTGTCTGTATGTATGTGTTTTGGAAGGTGAATTCAGTGGAGAGGCAAAGGTTGAGTAAGTCTAGGATGTCATTTTTGTGTAGTTGTGTTGTAGCTTGCCAAGTTTTGTCGTTTGTGAGTAGTTCGTTTGTAATTTGTTTGGCGATGTCTAGTGGTATGGATGTGAAGAGTGATGTCACGTCTTAGAATATCATGATTTCGTCTGGTCGTAGTTTAATGTTTTCAATACTGGCGAGGAAAGTGGTGGCACTTTCTGATGGTGTGAGGGGAATTTTTGACTAATGCTGGAAGCGATACGATAGGTCGAAGTGGGTTGTTTTCTTTGTGGATTTTTGGTAGTCCGTAGAATTTGGCGGTGGATGCGTCATTGGGTCGGACTCGTCTGTAGTCGTTTTCGTTTAGTTTCTTTTTGTCTTTTAGTTGTTTCAGTTTCTGGTTGACGCGGTTGGCGGTCGTTTTGCTGCGGTCTGTGTGGAGAAGTTCGTAGGCGGTGGTGTCTTGTAGGAGGGTTTTGGCTTTGTCGATGTATTCTGATCTGTCCATGATAACTGTTTTGCGTCCTTTGTCAGCTCGTAATATGATTATTTGGTCGTCGTTTTGTAGGTTTTTTATTGCTCGTAGTTCTTCGTAGTTTAGGGTGACAGGTGGTTTGTGGCAGAGGTTATTTGTGATTTTGTGACGAATGTCTTCTTTCGTTTGGTCTGTTAAGTTGGTGTACTTTAAAGCGGATTCCAGGTCGGCAACGTAGTCAAGTTTGTTCGCGTCTTTAAAGTTGTAATTTAATCCTTTGTTTAAAATTTTAGTTTGCTGTTCGGTTAGTGGTTTGTTCGAGATGTTTGTGACAAATTCGTCTGTGTTGGGATGGAGTTGTTTGTCAGATCTGGCTTCTTGTAATTTTCGATGAAGTTCGTGGTGTCGTTTTGTTCTATATGCGGATGTTGCTTATTTGATGGCTTCATTAATGGATTTGGCGTCTGATTGTGTAGTGTATGTTGTTACGGTTTCTCGATGTTCTTGTAGTTTATGACAGTAGATTCGTAAGCGGTTGTGGGCATCTGATGTGAGGACGTTTAACATACGGCGGCCGTTTGATTGTGCAATTTGTTGAGCGTGAGTTGTTTTTAATGGTGGTCAATAGTTGATGCTGTTTGGTAGGATTCGTTCTTGTTTGCATTTGTGTAGGAAGTGAAGCTGCTCCAATGTTGATGACTCTTTACGTGCGAATAATTCCCATTTTCTCGTTCTTCTGAGGATATCTATCCCATATGTCGATTTTATAAGTTTGAAAATTTGCAATCCAGGCATTTAATATATAAAAGATAAAAGTTTCTCCGGATTTTAAGTGATTTTTATTGAGCTTTCGCCTCGTTGCTTCGAGTATTTATAATATTTATAAACAGTATTTATAATAAATACTGTTTACTAACACAATACATAATTAAAATATAATGGTAGTTGAAAAGAGCAATGATCATTGCTGGCTTCCGACATTTTTTGTGGACTCCATGTGGATTTTAATACAAAATCAAGTAATAATAAATGAAATTTCCAAGGTTACTAAAACGGCAAAAACCTTAAGAAGTTCATAATATGTGAAATTAGTTGAAGACGCGTAAGTAAATAAATCGTAGTTAAATAAGAACATTAAAACTTTGAAAAGTCAAGACTTGAAGTAAACCAATGACATGTAAAGCATCTTTATAATTATGAACATAATATAAGAAGGATGTAAACCATATATTTATAGCAATAACATATCTTGGAAAATCCATCAACAGTGATGACTCGTGTTCACAACATCAAATCGACGCTATGAATATTTGGGTGGCAATTTCACAGCTTAGAAAAGCTGAATGCAGAGCTTTTGTATTCATAATAAAGAATGCGTATTTTAGATATAATATTTAATAATAAAATATAGCGCAAGAACACTTGTATTCGTTTCATCGATTCGACGGTATCTATGGCAACATGACTAAGAAACGCGAGGATCATAACATCGTCACAAACGCTCAATATTTGTACCCTACGAATGCAATCTCAACATATATAAACTAACACATGTATATAGTTGTAAATTGAGGTTTAAAACACAACATACAGACAAACAATATAATGAATATGTAAGGAAAAAAGTTTTCCACATCAAATTACTCATAATTGACATAAAATATATGTATGAACTCTGATGTAAAAAATTGTCCTCGTATGTTAAAACAATAATGGTTCAGCAGGATATACATGTACAAGATTTTTACATTCTCATACTAATAAAGTCTCGAGAAATACAATACACAACTGAGATATTTCGCAATCACCACTATTGTATAATTTACAAAAAAATGAATGCTTCCAATAATTTGCTGTGTGTTTCATGTGGATTTAATTATACAATTGATAATAAGAACTAAAATTGCTTAGGCTGCAAAATAACTCAGCAAAAATCATATATAGTGCGCGCATCATGTGAAAATTGTAGTTGAATACAGATGCATTACAAAAAACATTTAAACCTGTGACAAATCAAGACTCGAGGAAGTTCAATAACAGGTTAAGCATCTTTATAATTATTGAAATAACATAAGAACGATGTGAAAAAACAGTTTTAAACTTTGATTTGTCAACAGCAATAACATAATTTTGAAATTCCATCAATGGCGATCAGTCGATCGTCACAAACACTCACAACCAAACGAATGCGATGAACATGTATAATTTATCCAAATGTTTCTAATAAAATCATAAAGAAGCTTTTGTGAATTGAGAATTAAAACACGACGTACAGACAAACAAACTGACGTGAACACAAATCAACTAAACTATTTTGCATTTAAAATAGAAAATATAATCTGAAGATGTAACCTGGACCAAGGAGAGAACCTAACAAAAGAACGCTCTACATGTAAGGATGAATCCTGAAGGGCAAACAAATGATATATCCATTCAGCACATTCAGCATTACCTTGAAATTTGTCACAATGCAACACTGAAAAGTTATTCAAAAGATGGTTTCATTGATGGAAGAGAGAGATTAAAAAATGAAGCAGAAAATATCAAAAAAGTCTTTTCCATCTGTTCCACAAGGAGTGAAGAGGTTTCACAAATATTGATGACAATCGATTTATTTCAATCGTCATGCAGATTCTTTTTCAATACGGCCATCAATGGCATCATTTCTGAAGAGATACTGATCAAATTTGTACTAACTTGCTCCGACTTAGCAGAAGAGCACGGGAAAATAAGACAAAAGATTGATTTTGATTGCATTCTGGTTGATCATGAAGGTCGAAAATCATGGCTGTCCGATGGCTATTTCGAAAAAATGGAGAAAGTCATCGATGATTACAATAGAAGTGAATTTGCAGATGACGAACCATTACTTAAAGCACATTTCAAATACCAGTTGGGTCGATACTATTTCAAAAAATCAAAAGACAAAAATGAGCAACCCAACAAACAGCGAGAATATTTTGAAAAAGCTGCTAATAATATTGAAGAATCGCGTGACTTAAGGAAACAAAACATGGAAAGAGAGAACTCGTCCCCTTTGACGAAAGTTGACGTGATTTTGTCTCTTCTCATGCTTGGTGATTTAAGAAAATATCAGAGCATACAACGTCACCAAGTAAAAAGTTTCAATGAACTGATTGCTATGGCGAAAGATTGCTATGAAGAAGCTTTAGCTTTAGTGGACGATCTCCTTGGAAAACATCCCCTTAAAGTAGATTGCCATAAAGTCTTGGGTGATTTGCTGTTAGGAGTGAAAGAAAATGAGGCTGCAAGGAAAAATTATGAAATTGCTTTGAATGTTTCTGAAGAGTTAGAGCTAACTCCAAACAAAGGTAAGGTATACTTGCTCAAAAACTATGCCACATCTTTGATGAAGTTGCAGGAATATGAAAGAGGGAACGAAATGTTCCAGCGAGCGAAAGATTACTATAAGAAAGCTATAGCTTTAGTAGACGAGTTTCTTGGAAAACATCCCCTTAAAGTAGATTGTCATAAAGTCTTGGGTGATTTGCTGTTAGAAATGAAAGAAAACAAGGCTGCAAGGGAAAATTATGAAATTGCTTTGAATGTTTTTGAAGAGTTAGGGCTAACTCCAAACAAAGGTAAGGTATACTTGCTCAAAAACTATGCCACATCTTTGATGAAGTTGCAGGAATATGAAAGAGGGGAAAATATGTTCCGGAGAGCGTTTGCAATTAATGTACACTATGAATTAGGTTTGGAAGACCTGATCGAGAAAACTCGACAACAATATAACTAGAAAAAGAACCAACGACATTAAATCGCAAACATACTTCAATAAATTAAAATGATTTCGTATCATTTTGTTGATAAAAGAAAAACTGCAATCATAAACATACCAATATAGTGGTCATGAAGTGCACAAATCTTAGCGTCTTATGTTAAAAAGTATAAATAATAGTTAAAAACTATTCACATATTTATCACGTGATTTTAAAAATCAATAATAATGCACTATTCGCGCAGTCGTGGAAATATCGTGCCGCAAAAAAATTCAAATACATATATTACTAGTTAAGTCAATATGCAATTAATAAAGATATTTTTTTGAATGATTTTGTTTATCTCTTGTAAAATGTATAATTAATATTCCACGAGTTAATATTATTTTATAAAAGTTGGGCAGCTTATTAGAATTTTAGTATCAGCCGACGGAGTTTTAAGGCAATTTTCTGCTTTTATCGTTGTTTCCATACGATACAAATATTTCATGTTGAATTAAAGTTACGTAAAGTAACGTTTCCAAAAGCTTTTCATCGCCAGGCTAGAAGATTCCTGATATGAATTGCCGACTTTTTATAGTTTATAAGATGCGATATTGCAGCATGAATTTTGAACTTAATCCTTCGCTATATAGCCACAAGTACCTCTACTTGTCAGTTAAATTGAATATTTGAAACCTCACGATGTTCTAGTGTTGATAATACGAATCTCTCGCGCGCTTTTATCCCAACATAAAAAACATGTGACTTGGACGAAATTAGAACTCGCACCAAGCCCACAAAGATTGGACACGAGTCAAATCTCTTTTAAACTACGTATGGACGAGAGATTCTCGCCACTATAGCAGTTTTCTGTATGGTACCGTGTTTCAACTTTATTCCAAAGTCATCGTCAGCAGTAGCGTAGCCAGCCACATGTTTAGATCGAATTTTTATTTTATGAATTCCGACACAGTTTTATATAGTGTTAAAAATGATAAAATTCAAATTCTCTAATCTCTAACTATTTTACGGTAGTCAGTCATTGAGAAGTGTATGTTATAAAATATTAAAGACACTAACCTCTGCAATCCTTTCAAAATGTAGTTATAATTGTTTAATAAGAATATCCCAGACAGGGCAACTTGACCCAACATTGTAACGTAACTTTTCGACTTCAGTTCAAGATTTAATCCAAGAGCACCAAGAACACGACCTTCAACATTTAAACATTTAAAATACACACATAAGCTATGATAAAGAAGAATGCATTTATAAGGAAAGAATTTTGTAAACTTACCAAAGTATCGAGCAACAAGAGTTTTAGGTGATACACTGTCACCAATTCGTGGATCCATTACAGATTCTATATGAACAAAAATGTACAACTTACTTAAATGCAAAGTATCTGTTCTTTTCATTCATTTCTTTACACGTAAGCTTAAACAAAAGCCGTGATCTTGTACGTTTGTTCATATAAATGGGGGCATTTGTTGATAAATAACAGTAAAATGTATCATCCAGGTGTAGAGCGAGGTATGTGTGGATAATTGAGTCAGAACTTGTGAATATTGGCGACGAATAAATACTTCAATAAAGAAGGCATCTTACGCTAGGTCTGGTCTCATGTTTCTCACAAGCTTTACCGTTCAGTGATTCTAAATCTATGTATTCAAGAACAATTCAATTTTGAAACTAATGTACATGAGAAACGGTCGTCATTCTACAACCATAGGGTCATTCTCCGGCAAGATCATCGTTCAAAAATGTTTTAGGATAAAACTGAAATAATCAACATTAAGATAAAGGATCTTAAATATTACCTGAGTTTAAGAGCATATTTCCAACAGTGTCCGTATATCCCAGCAGGTGCTCAAGAAATATCAACGTCTATAAAATAATACAACAAAGAATATCTTTATAAAAAACCTTCGCTTGCGAAGTTAATTTACTTGACAAAGAAAATGCATTTACAGACGAAATACACGAAAGATCATGTAAGACTAGCAACATTGCTTTAAGTCTAGTCAGTCACATTACGTACATTGCTTGTGAGTTCATGAACAGTGCCATCTTTAGGCATATTTGATTGCTTGTCAGGGTCATGCTAAAGAAAAGAAAACATCAAGTAACAATAAAAATGCCATGAATTTACTGGTGAGGGTGGGAAGGTGTATTTCTGTTAGTAAGGTGGGATGTGTGTGCGCACCTCTGTTACTAAGGTGGGGTGGGAGAGCGTACCTCTGTTAGTAAGGTGGGGCTGAGTACACCTGTTAATAAAGTGAAGGTGCTCACCCCTCCTTACCAAGAGGAAGTGAAGAAGAGGTTAGGTGAATTTTCTTACAAAATATTACTATAACAGAAATGAACTAAAGTGTGACATGGCACGATGACATCTACAAAAGTCAAAAAATCTAATCCAAACTAAGGTACCCTCCCCAAACAATCATCCTGAATCCTTCTTTGAGAGAGACGTCATGGATGTAAAAAGAAATTATGGTAGCCTAAAATAAATGATCCCGTCAATGTCATAAATGAAGAAGACGTTTAGTAAGATTCATTGCTGTAATTGTTTACATTCAACAAAGCTTTATAAGTTGTCTTTATAAGTTGGCTTTATAAGTTGTCATGAATTTCAACATCTTTGCTACGATCACATTCAACAAACAAACCTTGATATTTTCAGTAAAGTCATCCAAAGCTTTAGCTCCCTAAAGCAATCAACAAAAGCAAGATAGAGCGAGAAAACACATCCATTCGGGGACGAAACTAAAACGTTATGTGAGGGGGGAGGGGTGGGTGAATATTTACAAGATAGAGCGAGAGAACACATCCATTCAGGGACAAAACTAGAACGTTAAGTGAGGGAGGGTGGGTGAATATTTACAAGATAGAGCGAGAGAACACATCCATTCAGGGACAAAACTAGAACGTTAAGTGAGGGAGGGGGGGGGTGAATATTTACAAGATAGAGCGAAGAACACATCCATTCAGGGACAAAAATAGAACGTTAACTGAGGGAGGGTGGGTGAATATTTACAAAGATAGAGCGAGAAACACATCCATTCAGAGGCAAAACTAGAACGTTAAGTGAGGAGGGTGGGTGAATATTTACAAGATAGAGCGAGAGAACACATCCATTCAGGGACAAAACTAGAACGTTAAGTGAGGGAGGGGGAGGGGGGTGTGTGTGTGAATATTTACACATTCAGTTCTTCCCTGCAAATTTTCATTTGAAATTATCATCGCTAACAAACCAAATCAGTCAAGCAGAGCTGAATATATGAATATTTCTACTTAACGTTCTAAGTTTCTTACCCTGCAAGATGATGTAACACATCGATAAAGTTTTAAATATCCTACCACGGACTCCAAATTAACAAAAAGATTTGGGATTGCTTGCTGAGTTGGATTACGAACTCCCTAGAACAGATGAAATTTTAAGTTTTTCTTAGGCTACACGTGAAAATGACCACAAGTAACAAAAAAAAACAAGTCAAAATATAGTAATATGTAACATATTAAATCAGAATACATGATATAACATGTTGGTATTATAAAAACTGTGACACTCTTCAACAAGAATATGGCGCAATTTTATGTTCGCAAAGTTTGGGCCACATTTAACATGCTCTAAATTTTTCCTAAGAAAAAAAGGACACCTATAGAGTTTCCTATTTACCTGTAATGCTTGAGAGAACAAGGGCAACACAGATTTAACATACTTGAGCACGGGAAGAAGAGGCAACAGAGAGAAATATTCTCTTTTCGCAATTAATTTTCGTGCCGAGTTTTCCATGACCTCGATAAGGAATGAAAAAACGTTTAAAAAACGTGAAAAAATTTCCAAGCAAGTTCTTCTCATGAAGCGACATACTTCTCCCTCGAAAATCAACGTTTCAATCAAATTTTGAATGAGAACGTCAAAAATACCATCTCTATGTTCTTTACAAATGATCAAACTGATCAATGTCCGTTCACTCTAGGAATGACATATCTGCAAAATAACTTTTGCATCGAAAAATACACTTTGAAATACACTTTAAAAAATACATTTTGAAATACACTTTAAAAAATACACTTTAAAATACGCTTTAAAAAATACACTTTGAAATACACTTTAAAAAATACACTTTAAGAAATACACTTTAAAACAAATATGTGCAACAAACCTGGAGAAGTTTTAAAAGTGCCGCAGAAAGAGTGATGAATCGACCAGCTTCTATCTCACTAAATAAATAAAGAAATTTGTTTCTGCGTATGAATCTTTAAAAGATAACAGTGTTGAAGTTAAAACACAAAAGCAACGAGTTCGAGGAAAGAATCAAAGTTAAAAGTTTCGGAAGATTATTGAGATAAATTCTGCCTGGTTTAGCTAATTGCTTTAACTTGAATATTCAGCCATTTTAACGATAATGCCACAGATTAAGATTATACAGAAGAGTCACTTGTGTCGGAACCTTTGATGTTTTTGTCCTCGCGCATGTCGTGCTGCGCATGGTGGCCGCCATTATTCCAGCCAGATGATTAGGGTTTTTGACTTTTTCCAAACCTTTAAAATGATCCAAAGTCATTTCTTATTTCTCAAAATATACTTGAATTCATTATTAAGTATTGACGTCATGTAATTTTAACGGTTGGAAACAAGTGAGAAATCTTAATCATCTGGCTGGAATAATGGCCGACATGAGGACGTGTTGTACACCTGAGTGACCTTTCTGTATAATCATTATTCTCTGCTAATGCGGTCTATAACACGTGACGGAAGACCACTGAACTAAAATACCTGGAACGCTACCTGTAATACAAAACCCTAATGATTTTTTGAAGACGTGATTTTACACCCAGACACGCGTGTGTAGCCAATCAATTATTACTCCGCGAGAGAATCTCGAAACACCAAACACGCGTGACTGGGGTTAAATCTCGCGTGTCTGGGTGTAAGATTTGGCTTCAACTATTTGCTTCAGGTGGCGTTCCAAGTATTTTAGTTCAATGGGGAAGAGCCACTAAACCTGTCAGTTGAACAGCATTTTTATCCAGTTGGATTTACGAAATCATCTTCTTACGACGAACAATTACGAGCAATTACGACGAAAGCCGAACGACAAAAAGTTTACAAGCACAGAACAAAAAATACACAATAAAATACATTACTCTTCATCCTCTTTGGATGTTGACGAATCAAACATTGCAGCAGGTGAGTTGACTTTCCGATTTCCTGTGTATTCAAACGCTTTCGATGGCACACGACGCACAAGATTTCTTTTCATAGTTGATTTTCTTTGAGGAGTGATGCCGCTTAACTGTTTCAACTTCGGACTGATCATCTGCAGATGTAAATAAGTTTGTACATTGTGAGATCATCGAAGACATTAACCTTGATACTTCAGGGAAATCCTGTTGAAAATTTTAGCCCCCCCCCCCTCTACAATAAAACCATCTCTTCGTATCCAGAAAAGACTATCTCTCTAATGGGTGAAATATCGGTAAAAAATCTCGCTTCCTCTAGTAAAACAAATCTTGGCCCCACCCCCCACCCCCTGGGTGAAACATCAAAATTTCCGATGAAAAAAATTTTCTACCTTTTCAGATAAAAACTAGATTATAGAAAGACTGACTTTTTATGTACTTACAATGTTGGCAGGTGAATAACTTTCTATCTTTCCTAGTGAATGTCCCTCGACTAATCTGAGGAAAATCGAAAACAAAAAAACTTGAATATTTTATGAAAAGAGCCCATTATTCTGCATTTAATATAGACGACGAATTTTTTGAAAATAGACATATTTCGACATCTCATAATGTCTACTGAAGATGACATCAAGAAATGTCGAAACATGTCTATTCTCATAAAAATCGTCGTGTATATTAAATGCACATTAGCAACAGTTCTTTTACGAAATTTTGAAAACCCAATATTTCTTAATGCAGTCAAACGTTCACTAATATAAAATATTTTATAAAAACAAGCTTTCGGTTATAAAATATTTTTTTATAACCCGTCGAAGGCTGTAGACAGACAGCCGAAAGCTTGTTTTATAAAAAAATTGTATATTAGTGAACGTTTGACTGCGTTATGTAGATTACTGATAACGGATCACGCATTTTTCCCATTGTTTCTTGTAACAAGTACATCACAAACCCTTGTAAGGTCTTCATTAAGACACTTGATCGAATTTGACTGTACACATTCATAAAATCTGAAAGAACAAAAATTCTTTTATAAAATAACATAGGCCAAACGCGTGCTCTGATTGGTCGATGTCCGACTTTGGATCAGACCATCAAAACACGAAAATTGAAATCGCTATCAGCGCAGTCGTGAAATTTTTGAACATACCATTGAACTAAAATACATGGGACGCTGCCTAATAATTTTTTGAAGCCAAATTTTACACCCAGACACGCGAGATTTTACCCTGGACACGCGTGTGTAATTCAATCGTCGGCCCGCGAGAGAATCTCGAAACACAACACTCGCGTGTCTTGGGTAAAATCTCGCGTATCTGGGTGTAAGATTTGGCTTCAATCCACCTTTCTGACAGTAAACACACGCGTCAGAAATACGAGATCAAATTACAAAATTCTGACAATCAAATGGTCGGACATTGTATTGTTTATGTAGAATAGTGGCAATAAAATGGTTAGGAGATGCTATTGGGGCATTTGTAAATCTTATTTTAGACATACAGAACGACTAATTATAAAGGGAGAGGGTGTTAAGAGTGAATAAAAACCATTTTCCGTCAAATGAAAAAAAAAGCTTGGATATGACATGCAAAGTTATGGAGAAAAACAAAAACATTTCGCAGATATTACGAGTGCCGTAACAAAGTGGTGATAAGTTTAATATGCATTTGTCAAAACAAGCTTAAGAAGACAAGTAGCATGCAAAAAATATATCATTGAAAACTTGCTCAGCGCATCTACAAGCACCAATTTCAGAGCTCGCTCTGTCACAAATTAATCGAGAATTAATGCGAGCATGCGTAGTCAACTTCACTAACTTTCCAAGTTCATGGTCATGGCAACAACCAATTGTATGTACTAGTACAGATTATGGAGTAATTAGCTCGCTCAGTAACAAATTTTCAGATATATTATCTGCGCATGCGCAGTCGCTTCGACCAGCTGGTCAAGTTCATGGTCATGGCAACGACCAACTGCATCTACTAGCATCGATTTTGAAGTAAATAGCATGCTTAGTAGCAATTTAATAGAGAAATCATCTGCGCATGCGCTCGAGCCTGCGCAGTCCACTCGACCAATTGTTCATAGTCATGGCAACGACTAACTAAATGTACTAGCACTACATTTGTGGCAATTAGCTCACTAAGTCGCAAATTATCAAAGAAATCATCTGGGCATGCGCAGTAGTGACTTTATTAATACCACAACTTTCGTAAGCCTCTGAATTTTTGTATATATATATAAAGTCAATACTAGGTATAGTAGATGTCAACTAGCAGTGGAAGCTGGGTGCGATATAGTATGCAGTGGCTTAGGGGCCACTTCGGTGGCGACCGCACTCTCCTGCGTACCCCGAGCAAAGCCTATCGCAGGTGATCTCGGGTTTGATGGGCGGAAGCTTGCTATTGCATCTCCCAAGTAAGATAGCGTGGAGGGCCGAAATCTCCTACCGAAACGTTAACATGCGGCGTTCTAGTGCCTTACGCTTAAGAAGGTATCGGGAAGCATGGACCGAAAAGGGTTTTGCTTTCGAATTTTATCTTTTTTTTTACAAGTTCTTATCATAAAAACTAGAACATCAAGGATACGTTCAAACAACTGTCTTTTTGAATTATAATTTAAACCAACTGTAAACACGTTTTACTCGTTACCACGTAACTTTCTCATAATTCTCTCATCACGAATGAGACCCTCCTTATGGACAAAGGAATTGTTTCTTTTTATAATAGTTTCTACAAGTCCTTCTCAGGACTTTAAAATTGTTTTCTTTTTATAATAGTTTCTACAAAGATAACATTTAATAAGCCATGCAACTTGTATCGTCTAATTGAACCTCGGTTTCAACCCTTAGGTTATAAAATTTTGATACATTTTTGATAGTAAATTTCTTTCTATCAACAATATTTTAATGATTCAATATAGAGTAACTTCTTCTCGAATAATTTTACGAATAAACTGTACACTTTTCGGATTAAAGGACTTCTTTTGATCGCATAGAGACAGCCGTCCAATTTATTACGTACATGCATGTTCTATGCATTTCGTTGTAAGGAACCACCCTACCAAAGAATATCCAGATCTGATATTCTTTAGCTGCATCGAGCGAAGAAAATTGCCAGTGATGGAATTTTTCAAAGGTTATTTTTATGATATTTATAATTCGATGTATCATGTAGATTCCAGATGAGATTTATGACTGCTTTTGAATACAATTAACACATATTCTTAATAAGACAATGTTTTATAAAGTAAATGGTTTGAACCCGGGAGTATCGTTATATGTTTGTAAATGATGATCGTCCAGGTTAATAAAGTCCTGAGAAGGACTGTTTTTGTCAAAAACAGTCCTTCTCAGGCATAACTGAACGTCATTAACTATTTAATATGTTATCATTTAGCGTCTTTGTAATTTTGCCGTTTAAATTTATAGCTATAGTTTAAATTCCATATTGTATATAACGCGTAAATGAATCTGAAAAGCCAGTTTTAGGGAGATTTTATGCATCAACAATAATAATGATTAGTGATTATAAAACAGCGAAACTAACATGTAATAAAAATAACAGTTCAAAAATTTGTATGGCTTGGTTTTTTGCTTTATGCAGCTGGAATCGTCCTGGATATTCTTAGTCACGCCGTTAAGGCCCGGCAATCCTTATAAAAGTCATTAGCGTGACAACATGCCAGTTATTCAAGCTTTCCTTCGATCGTTATACTTTTTCCAACCCAAAATGATTAATTTTTACTGTTATGTCTTCTGCCTTTATAAATAATCTTTCTAAATAACTACAATCAGATTAAAAATGCCCAAAACTCAAAGTATCTCCTAACCATTTTATTTGCCACTATTCTACATAAGCAATACTAAGGCCGGTTCAAACGTCGCATTTTACATGCGCCGAATCAAATCTGATTTTAGTCGACTAAAATAGTTTATGCGTAGTTTGATTCAGACGTCGAATTTAATAGTCGCATTTATTATAGTTATGCTTCCCTTTTTCATAGTTTATTCATTTTCTTGTACTAATTTCCTAAAATGGCGAACAGAAAATGTTGAGTTTATCATTTCAAATCTGATTCGTGTTAATAGGAAAAGATGAATATTGATGCATATTTTAGCAAATAAACTATTAGAAACAAGGACGGCAGCTTCTGCAAATTTCCCATGTTTTCTACCGTTATTGGTCAAAAAAAGCCTTCATACGTAGCCCTCCTTATCGATCATGTCGAGACAGATAGAAATTCCGGCTGGTGGAAGAAAGTTTGGAGTATTTATTCTGATTCAAAAACTTTTCATGTATCTCGAGGAAACTTTCCTTGTACATATAAATTTTTTGCACTTTAAACAAGTGTATTTTGTTAACTTGCTGAAATACAAGGAGCCATTACCATCACTGTACTCGCCATGTTTTTACAACTTTGCGCATAGCATTTGCATGGAAATAATTGATTTTGGCAGAAATATCTTAAAATAAATTATGCATTAAATTCGGCTCATGTAAAATGCGACGTTTGAATAACATCAATTTCATCGAATATTCGACTAACTCAGTCAGATAATGCGCTAAGTCAGATAAATTAAAATCCGTCGAATTTAATTGATTCAAACGTCGCATTTACTGTCTACATAATCTCGCATTTGATTCGGCGCATGTAAATGCGACGTTTGAACTCGGGCCTATGTCCGACCATTTGATTGTCGAATTTTGTAATTTGATTTCGTAATTTTTTGACACGTGTGTGTTAGAAAAGGTGGATTCATTTACTTCAGGTAGCATTCCATGTATTTTAGTTTAATTGAACATACTCGCCTTAGGCTCGTGTTTCGCTCGCTTTTCTTAACTCTAGCTAAATTTGCGTTATAATCAAACCCATAATGAAAGTGAAACATATTTCCATGGAAATACCTTTAGATTGGGCTTCTGTGACCAACCAAGCCGCTATTTTACTCAAATCTTCGATAGCTTCGTCTAAATGTGGAAAAGAAAATAACAGTTGGGAGACTAGAGATCATTAGAAAAGTGGCGAAAGATCATTTACGAGAAGATATTTTCGCTTATCGTTTTCAAATATTGATTTCAAAATTTCTTTGTTTCTTTTTTATTACCATTTATAGGTTTAAATTGAGGCGTGGATTCTTCTGTTTCTGGAAAAATGTAAAAATGTGAATTGAGATATAATGATTTAAATCTGACGCATAACGTGTGACCTTAACTCTAAGATGGCGAGACTAGGCCAGCTTCAAACGTCACATTTTACAGCCATACGAACCAGATGCATTAAAGAGAAAGAAATGAGATAAAATTCCTTATTAGCTTTATTTAAAATGGCTCATGTAAAACGACGTTTGAGACAAGGCATACTGTTTCAACTAGGTTTCAAATGGGATAACGAAATTTTTACATAGATTGACTTAAGGCATTCCTATGTTAAGACAAATGGAAAACCTGGATTACGCGTAATTTGTTGGGAAATGATATTTTGAAAATCACCGCTTTATATAATCTACAGCGCCACCGAAAATCTGCTAAAACTTTCTATAGTCCCCCGCAATAACTATTGACAACCTTCGTTGGAATTCAATAAATCAATCAATGTTTCACTTCGAGGACTGATTTAGCGCAGACTGTCTAAATGAACGTTCCATTTGTTCACGTCCTGATTTCCATTAATGATGTCTGAAATGAAAATTAACTTTTAATTAAGCAAGATTGACTTCAAAAATACGTAATGATCTCACAAGGAGGGATAACTCAGGACTGTTGGGTATGTGTTTTCAAAAATACTTAATGATCTCACAAGGAGGGATAACTCAGGACTGTTGGGTATGTTGTTGTCAAAAAATACTTTATGATCTCACAAGGAGGGATAACTGGACTGTTGGGTATGTTGTTTTCAAAAATATTAATGATCTCACAGGAGGGATAACTCAGGACTGTTGGGTATGTTGTTTTCAAAAATACTTTATGATCTCACAAGGAGGGATAACTCAGGACTGTTGGGTATGTTGTTTTCAAAAATACTTAATGATCTCACAAGGAGGGATAACTCAGGACTGTTGGGTATGTTGTTTTCAAAAATACTAATGATCTCACAGGAGGGATAACTCAGGACTATTAGGTATGTTGTTTTCAAAAAATACTCAATGATCTCACAAAGAGGGATAACTCAGGACTATTGGGTATGTTGTTTTCAAAAAATTACTTAATGATCTCACAAGGAGGGATAACTCAGGACTGTTGGGTATGTTGTTTTCAAAAATACTTAATGATCTCACAGGAGGGATAACTCAGGACTGTTGGGTATGTTGTTTTCAAAAATACTTAATGATCTCACAAGGAGGGATAACTCAGGACTGTTGGGTATGTTGTTTTCAAAAATATAAATGATCTCACAAGGAGGGATAACTCAGGACTATTGGGTATGTTGTTTTCAAAAAATACTTAATGAACTCACAAGGAGGGATAACTCAGGACTGTTGGGATTATTGTCTTCAAAAAATTTAATGGCATCTTGAACTTTTATCAAGCTTTGTATGTAACTATCGACATCAGCACCAGGTCTGAAAAAATAATGGAAATTTATGAATATAATGAAGGGATAGAGACAGATGATGAGGGATAATGAGGGATGATGAGGGATGAAGACGTGAAAATTTAGGAGTTAGATAAAACAATTTCTGTTTTAACTTCACATTGGAAAGAACTTGGACAAGAGTAAAAAAAATCAGCTGATAAACATATGAAATCCGGAGGAAGGAGGTAGATAAACCATCCTACCATCCTTTCCTTTTAGTCAGGGGTGGAGAAAACCATCTTACAACCTTTTCTTTTAGTCAGGGGATACAAACCATCATCAAACACTCACCCATCTCTGATGTCCTGGTCTTCTTTGAAGCAACATTATGATAGCTGATAACATTATCAACCCTCGTAAAACTTTGTCAATATCTGGGGAGATTGGTCAAAGGAACTACAACATATGTGTATCTGTTATAGCATTAATGAAACATTGCATGTTTGCCAGGTTGGAAAACTTGTATCAAAGTCCCTGTATAGCTGCAAGGATGTGAATTTATTAGCTGCCAGTGACTTAAAACCAGAAATATGCTGCAACACAGAGCCGATTGTACTATTTCAATTTTGCAAGAAAATATTAGTTCAATATGATGGTGGGATGCTGCAGTTTACCCTGAGTTGATGTAAGCACAAGCAAAGTAATTTAAAGGGGCAACATAAAGTTTAAAATGGTCGTGTGTGGCTGCAAGAGAGAGCAAGTTTTCCAACCTCATTGTTTGTCTTCTTCAAAAGACTTAAACAGAATTGCACCCAAAGAAAATAAACTTGAGTATGATTAAATAGAGTGTAAAAGGATACTTCTTTGTCGACGTTGTAGTTCAACAGTTTCTTTATGCACAGGTAAAATGTTTTCTTCTAGCTTGCTTAAACGTTCGTTAAATGATGACAAAATACCACGCTGAAAAATATATAACCTTGCTATTTTAATGAATGAAATCTTCAATTTGAAAGTTCATGTTATTATAATTTGACTAAACTTGTCCTTACCATATTTTCCGTCAAATCGTCGCTTTTCGTCAAACTGTCTTTCAAAAATGATAAATTTGCTTGCTCCTAAAAATAAAAACCATTTCTATTCAACAGAAGAGAACTGTTATTTTGGTTGTCAAACTTGAACGTCTTGTCTTGACAGCAAGTTTACCTTTGAAAGTTTTCAGCTAAAACTTTTTCCTTTGAGAAACATGCTCTGGTCGGCTTTCTTGAATCATTTTTAATGGCAGTAAGCAAGTAAACTTTCAAACGTCTCAAATTTTATCTTAAACAGTGATTAAACAAGGAAATGAACTAAAAATTTCATGAATGAAACTCCATTTTTGAGTCGAGGTCAAGTCAACCCTGAACCTTTCGAAATAATCAAATAATTATTCGGGTGTTGCGGGCTAGGATGAAGGAACCAATGGGGTGAAGGCATTGAGTTTATCGATACTCAATGGGTGAAGAGCAAACCAATGGGTACAGTAGACCGAATTTAAATTGTGTTGATTTTGTAAATGGTCATGTCTGTAACTAGCAAAAACATCAGTGAGCTGAGCAAAGTTTTGCTGATGTTAATAAATATAATTGTAAATCTAAATACTCTGCCTGATTATTAAAAGCAATGTAATAATGTTCCGTCGCTTTTCTTTCTGTTGTTCACACGATCGGATTTGTTGGATTTGATTTTTCGGATCAAAAAAACGCATCGTGTGAACCATTTCATCAAGATCAGAAGAAGCCGACTAGTCCCGGACCTCTCACTCTCAAAACTTTCAAAATTTCATTTGGCGCAAAACATTAGATGTGAAAACTGAAAAAGACTTAGAAACAAGAACAAAAATATGCATAATACACATCGATAAATGCACTGGATAACATAAATGTCTGCTCCACGACCATAAATATCAAACATTTCCACTTTATCAAACGAGTATTAAAATTTATGCCCAACAAAACGGTGAAATAAAAGTCATATGCCTAAAATTTCCGAGCATGTGATTGGATATACGATATTTTTCAATAGTGATTAAAATTAAAGAAAACAAAATTAAACATTACGATAAAAATTAAAAGCAACATCCTTGCTTGATTTCATTTATTAATTGGCAACTGCCGAGACACTATCCGTAAGCGAATTCAATATAAATGTCATGAAAATGATAAAAACGGGACATTGGATTTCTTCAGTAATTTCATCGTCAAAACATGACTTTCAACATAAGAATAGAGAGCTTTGTAAAAGACTACAGAGTACGCTACGAGTACGACTACGAGTACGATTTACGTCATTTTGGCGCGTAAACATTGTTGCGACAACAAAACACGTAGCCGTCATCAATCTGAGTACGATGTTTTGTAAAATTCGTAGTCGCGACTACGATGTCTTTTAAGCAAGACAGTAGGTATATTTTCATTCTGTAAGAAATTAGTTTACAGTACTATTTTCGAGAATCAGGCACCTTAGAACCTTTTTAAGCTTTTATGTACATTAAAAAGGAAAATATAATAAATCGTACTCGTAGTCTTTCTAAATATTCCCATCAAGCAATTTAGCAGTTTATTCGCTTCCAACGAAAAAGAAATAAAACACATGAATTGTGTCCATCACTTCACCGACTAAGTTCACTATAATCTAAAATGCAATGTCGTATAATAAAGATTACTTTGGTTGGTTCGTTTGTTTTGACTTTTCATTATCCACTCGTTGACAAGGACTAAAACAAGCAGCGAGCTACGCTTACTGACAGATCTATTTGTTCATTCATGATACTTATTCAGTTCTGTTTTCGCTCTTCTAAGTTTCTTCGTTAGCTATTCATCTTGTACCCAACCTTTATACTGTTCGTGTACCTCAAACGTCGTTTCAGTAGAGGATCCCAAAATATCTATCACATCATGAAACTTTCACTCGCTATAAACAACTTCAAACCTACGATCCAGTCAATGCGTTTCCTGGGTGGTCAGGACCCACTTTGTAGGTACAGGTAGCTTAAGACTCTCACTTTTCTTTCTTTACTGGATAACAAACTTTTTTCTTATTCGATCGCCGTCTGGTGAGAGGGATGTCGTGTCAACGCTAGCGACTTTAAATGCAAATAACGTTGAGGGCATGCTTTTTTCCTTTTTAATCTCCGACTCAATTTCCTCTAATTGCTCCATTTGTTCAGTATTCTGTTTCGTACTCTGTTGAGTAAATCAACATTAACTAACTTCAGGTCAACGTCCTGGAAAATGATAATTGTTCACTACTATGGCATACAACGGGATTTTTCTCTCGGCAGATGAGATCCGACAAACACTTTGGCGAGCATAATAATTTAGATGTTGGACTAACTCATTTCCGTTAGTCCATCCCAAAACCATTTGCAAAATCATTCGTCAGTAATTCAGAATATTTAGATTCACTCTCGGCCATCGCTTTAATTTAAACCTAATTGTTAGTAGTGACTTAAGAATAACGTTTTCGCAATGATATAACTTCCACAGTCCACTCTCATTTACATTTTATATTGTAAGTTTGCCAATTATGATTGGTTAAGAAAAATCGCCACCACGTCACAGAATAGATAAGTAACAGAAGCGCCACTCAGCGAAAAATTCTTCCCCGCAGTTCTTAAATGCGCATCGTATCATTAGTTCTCAATAACTGGAAACGTCAACAAAATTGTATAAATTATTGCGGCGGCCGCGTGGTCAAAACATGGCGGATTTTGGTGGTCAAAGTCAGCGGAGAGACGGAGCTCATGAAATAAAATTTTGTCGCCCACCCTGATTTGACCACCATGATTGCGAGTATAGAAATATCAAAACTACTTATTTTCCTAACATAAACACTTTTAAACTTATATTTATTAAAAATCACAAATTTCTGTGGTTTGTGGATGCTGAAATAGCGACAGAAAGGAACATTTCTTGACTCATTAAATAGCACAGTATTAGTTTATATTTTTTTACGATACTTGAAGAATGTTTCTACTACTAAGTTTTAATTTAAAGTTATTTTGGTCCAGTCTTGTTTGTTCTTCACTTAATCGCTCGCCAGACGTGGCGAAGCTGTCAATTTTTATCGTGGTCAAAAACATTACCGCCATGTTTTTGACCACGGGGTCCAGGCCCCTTTGCCCCTCCAGGTCTTATAGAGCTCAATGGCCATTACTCCAGCCCAATGAACTCCATAACAACTGGAAGGCTAACTTGGACGCCATCTTTGAAGCCTGCATGAGCGCCGCCATTGAGGGTACGGAGGCGAGATACATCACTTCGAAATTGCCGGGTTTTTTGCAAAAAATAGTTGTCTTCGAGCCAGCTTCATGTCTAAAAACCTTAAACAATGTTTGGACTTTAATATAAAACAAGTTTGAACGACATTTGTACATGTTAGCTTCTTTTTTTTAGGATGAAAAGCGAACTTTGTTTTGGCGCGTGAAAACATGCCTTATAACTTGAATACAAAACTGACACCCTCATTTTTTCATGAAAAGGATGTAAAAACACTTGTCTATCCTAAAATATAGTTTGAATCTTTGAAAATGAAGCTGTCAGGGCAAAACGCGTTTTTCGGTAATTTTGTGTTTCCGAGCAAAATTAGCTCGCTAGTCCTTTTGAAAGTTCAGAGCACAAACAAAAGAAAACACTTTGCAAAATATTTCAAAAGTTAGCAAAAAATATTTTGAGTTTAAAAAAACTGTTATGCCATATTATTGTGTTTGTATCATTAATTGCACCATTAAAGAGTCAAAGGTCAATATAAAAGACAAAAGCAATTGACACTCTATATTCATAACTGAAACCTTAAGTAAAAATTGTACGGTAATACAAGTGAAAACGATTATTAGTCTAATATTATAGAATCATATATTTTTCACAATATGAATTGAAACATTTTAAATACACATCCTAAAATTTAATATATTGCATATACATTTATCATCATCTGTATTACAAGAAAAAACTAATTTACAATCAATGATATACTATAAAATTTTGATACATGATATAGCTTTGCTTGCTTTATAATAATTTTAAAACCTGTTTCAAACCACTGAGGATGAGGGTTGCTTCTTGGCATTTATTTAGAGCAGGCTATATTAGCAATACTTCTCATAGTGTACACTTGGCTATTTATTTATAAGCATAACTTGCTGATAAATCTCAATACCAAATATGAACGCATCAAATCTTCCACCAGTTCTTAAGAAGTGGGAGAGTAAATGACAGAACCAACAATCACCCACAATTCAAAATTTCAAATCATCACTTTCACACAAATTGCAAAGGCATGTGGAAATTCTTAAAAACTGTCTAACTCTAAGCAATAAAATTGTTATGAAACATTTTATATTAAATGGATTGTGTGTATTTTGCACAGCATTCAAAGATACAGACTACCTGTTATCAGTTTTATCTTAAATTTTGGTCTTTCGGCGACAATTGAGAATTCATATTTCAAAGCAAGTTCTCCCTTTTATGTTTTTATATAATACAGCGTTACATGAAACATGTCTTGGAACGTCCACAATAATCTTAACACATTAATAACCAAATTTTGCTAACGGTTTTGAAAAAATAAAGCATTTAGGCTAGCATTATATTTCCAAGTTAGTTTTGCAGTACAGTCCGTGCACAAATAAAACAGTCCACGCGAGATGCACGAAGCAACAAATCCTTCTATGTGGCTCAAAAAGTCTAGGGTTTGTTTATAATGGTTAGCCTTCCAGTTGTTGTAGAGTTCACTGCTCCAGCCAGATAAACTTGGATAAACCAGTGAACTCCATAAATATATATCTGGAGTGATAACGACAATACATTTTATAGATATAAAATTGAAGCCAAAGTCTTAGTCGCTTGCGCGGTTTGTACGTCAGTTCCAGTCCTTCAAAGTCGAATATTCACGCGGTTTGTACGTCAGTTTCATTCCCCTGAGTGCCAAACACATACACGGCCAATATAAATTTGAATACAAATTGCAAAAGCATAAACATATAAACAACATCACGACAAACAACACACGAGGCCAACTCCTCGCAAAAGGTTATTTTTTACAGCTGAAACTTTACTACAGTGAGTTCGTTGTAACTTACAACTTGTAACGAGGAAAAGCCAACTGATAATTACATTGTATGCTAAAAAGACGATACAATAAAAAAATACGATGAGAAAATATTCAAGCAAAATTTTT